ATGTAAGTGTACACATTTCCAAAGAAACATTCACGGCTACTAATTTTGGTGCTGGAAGGCACAGTTATATTTGTGCCTGTACTTTTTCTCAATATTATCTTAACGTATTGCAATGAATGATAGCCAAAAACTGGGTTAAATTCTATTGATGTTAACTCCATTTCGTTTAACATTCTAAAAATACTCTTCGTGCAAGGCAAATTAGAAATTCGATTTACTTTCTTTGTTCAAAAATTTGTGCATTGTTTCATTGAATGAGGAACGTGTATTGAGACAAAAGTCTGCACATCGATTACAAAAAAATGATGCATTGATAAATTAATGGGCTATTCTTTGTTCTGTAAACATGTTGCATTCACATAATTCAATGGAGGAACTCAAGTGACCTTATTTCCCACATTCAAATTAAATCTCATTAGTTTATTCGTCAACTGTTTTGGTATAAATAGCCGATAGAATCTTCGAAATGGCATCAGTCAGCATTTGACAGCTTCAATACAATTTCAATTGTAAAATCAAATCAATCAACATGAAATTCACTTTGGCTTTCGTCGCTCTCATCGGTTTGGTCGTAAGTTGAGCTGTTCAAATTGGTCAAAGTTTTAAAGTGTGTTGAACAAATCTACAGAGTTTCATTATTTCTCTCCTATTTAAGGCTCTTTCAGCCGCCTTCCCTAAACCCAATGCGGAGCCAGAGCCAGCACCAGTAGCTGTTGCTGATCCAGGTAAGTCGTAATCTCTTGGAAAAACTACAAACGGATTTATTATTTTGGAATTTCCATAAAATCACAGCACCAGGAAGATCGTCCGGCAGCAGTTCATGCGGCTCAGGTGGTTCAGGCAGCTCATGTTGTGAATCGGGTAGCTCACGTGGATCGGGTAGCTCATGTGGCTCATCATCCTCGTCATGTGGTCGTCGTAAACGCCGTTCATCGGGTCAGTAGACACCATATTGAAGATTATATGATTTAGATATTCATAATTTTGATTGAATTGCAACAAATCATTTTGATAATAGGTAGCTCAGGCTGCGGTAGCTCGGGCAGTTCCGGCTCTAGCTGCTGTGATCGACGACCAAATCAGCAATTTCCAAATCCAACACAAACTCCAGTG